CTCTGTGCCTCAGTTTCCCTTTCTGAATATTTATGCCTGTACTTGGGAAAATATATTGTTGTTAATTTTAAAAAAAAGCTGTTCTCAACTTGGCCCTTTCCTACTTTTCCAGTCTTCTTATACCTTACTCCCCTCCATGACATCAGTGATCCAGTGACCCTGGCTCCCTGAGTGTTCTTCAGACAAGAAACTCCATGTCCTGCCACCAAGCCTTTTTATTGGCTGTACCCCATGCCTGGAATGCCCTCCCTTCTCACCTCTGGCTGTTGGGTTTTCTGAAGACTCAGCTCAAATTCTAACTTTCTGTAAGAGGCCTGCTGCAGCCCCACCCATTGTGTGTGCCTTCCCTCTGAGATTACATCTTCTCTGGTTGTACCTGGTACGTCTGTACTAAGGTGATTTCTGTATTATCTCGCCATTAGAATGGGAGCTCCTTGAAGGCTGTCTTTGCCTTTCTTGACATCCTTGGGGCTTAGCACAGTGCCTGGCACACAGCAGGGGCTTCATAAATGCTTGTTTGCTTTTTATCTCTCTATCTGCATTGCTTAGCACAGTGCCTGGCACACAGTAGAAGCTTCATAAATGCTTGTTTGCTTCTTGTCTCTCTATCCTGAGTGGCTAACACAGCACTTGGTATCTAGTAATAGTTTAATAATTGCTTGTTGATTAATTGAGCCTCTCAAAAATCTTGTGAAGTAGCACTATTACCTTCCTCATTTTATAGATCACTCATTCAATCAGCAAGCATTTATTAAATACTTACTACATACAAGTCAAGCACTATGCTAGCTGCTGGGAAGACAGATAAAAGTAAAAGAGACCCTGCCCTCACAGAGTTTACATTCATGGAGAAGACTACATGTAAATAATAGGAAGGAAATGAGCATTTATTAAGCACCTACTATGTGCCAGGCACTATACTAAGTGCCTTACAAATATTAATCCTCATAACAACTCTAGAAGGAAGGTGCTATTATGATCTCCTATTTTATAAAGGAGGAAACTGAGGCAAAGAGTCATACAGCTAGGGAGTGTCAGGGGCAGGATTTGAACTCAGCTCTTCCTGATTCCAAATCCCATACTCTATTCACTGTAAGACTTGTAAGACTTACCTCATTGGGTTACTGTGAGGAAAGGGCTTTGGAAATGCTGTGGAACTATACAGTTATTATTCCTTACTGAAGGTGGAACATAGAACCACTGTGCTGGGACTGGAACCCAGGTCTGATCCAACTTCTTCATTTTACAGATGAAGAAACTGAGGCCCAGGAAAGTAGAGTGATTTGCCCAAGGTTACATAGGTAACAGGCAGTTAGGTGGCTCAGTGGATTTGGAGTCAGGAAGACCCAAGTTCAAATCCATTCGCTGATACTTACTAGCTGTATGACCCAGGGCAAGTCACTTATCCTATCTTTGCCTTAAGCCACTGCAGAGGGAAATGGCAGAGCATTCTGGCATCTTTGCTAGGACCATGGGGTCCCGACTGAACAAGACCACCACCACTAACACCACACAGGTAGTAAGTGGTTAAGGCAGGATTTGAACCTGGGATCATCTGGTCATAGAGCCAATGCTCTTTCCTCCATACTACTCCGGGTGAGTCATTGTCTTACGTGAAGGATGTGACACTGGTCCCATCCATCGAGAGGGGTCTTTAAACCCTGGCTGGGGGACTACTTCTCAGGAATATTGTAGTGGGATTTCTAGAGCCTGTTTGGGTTGGCTCCATGGCTTCTGAGGTCCCTTCTCGCTCGGATGCTGGGATTTTGTATTCAGCCCCCTCATCTCACAAGATCTACAGAGCTGGAAGGGACTTTGGAGACCAGCCCTTCCATTTCACAGATGGGCAAACTGAGGCCCCGAGTGGTGATCTGACTTTCTGAAAAGGTGGGCTAGTCCTTCAAAGAGGTCATTGAGCAGAGGCTGGGGAGCCATTCTTCAGGGCTGGGGGAGGGGAGTTCTCATTAAGCTACAGGTTGCACTAGGCAGCCTCTGAGGTCCCTTCCAAACCGAAATTGTGTCTCCCTCATGTTCTTTCTGCTCCTTCTATCATCCAGCCTGGAGGAGCTGAATAGAACCTTGGATTTGGAGTCAGGAAGACCTGTATTCAAATCCTGTCTTGAGCACTTATTAGTCATGTGACCTTAACGTCCTTGTATTTCAGTTTCTTCATCTGTGCAATGATGGAGTAGGAGTCGATGGCTTCAAAGTTCCCCAACATCTACGCCCCTAAGATTCCGTTTCTGGGTCACTGTCATCCATCTGCTAATTACTACCTGATGTGACCTTGGACAAGTCACTTTAGCCTCTATTTGCCTCAGTTTCCTCATCTGCAAAATGGGGGTCATAATAGCACCTACCTCCCAGGGCTGTTGTGATGATCAAATAAGATAATAATTGTAAAGTGCTTAGCATATGCCTGGCATAATGTAAGCACTATATAAATGTGAGCTATTATTATTATTATTATCTGAAAAATGAGGGGGTGGAATAAAATAATCTCAAAGATTTCTTCCATCTTTAAATTAAGTTTCTGATAATTTCTCCATGGACAGCTAGGTGGTGCAATGGATAAGGTGCTGGGCCTGGACTCAGGAAGAAGACTCATCTTCCTGAGTTCAAATCCAGCCTCAGATACTGACTAGCTGTGTGACCCCAGGCAAGTCACTTAACCCTGTTTGCCTCAGTTTCCTCATCTGTAAAATGAGCTGGAGAAGGAAATGGCAAACCACTCCAGGATCTTTGCCAAGAAAACCCCAAATGGGGTTACAAAGAGACAGACATGACTGAAAAACAAAATGACCTTTCTGAGTCTTAGTTTCCTACTTTGCAAAATGGGGTGTGTGTGTTAGGGTATGTGTGTGTGGGGGATCAGGGGCATCCTTTAGTTCCAAATCTATGATTCTATGACCTTTCTGGGCCTCAGTTTCCTCATCTGTAAAATAAGGGGGATGGACCCAATGAACTCTGAGGTCCCTTCCACCTTGAATTCTTTTGATCCTATGATCTTTGAAGGACAACCAAGCACCAGAAACAAGTCTCTTGACTATTTTCCAGTGATTTTCCCTCCACCTTCCCTATCACCCTTTCCTTCCTGCCACACAGGACCCAAGTACTATCTGCTCTCTCCATGGGGCAGGAGGAAGTTGAGGGAAGGAGGAGACAGGGGGGATGAGAAGGAATGGAGAAGAAAAATTTCAGGAAATGAAGACCTTGGTGGAAACTAGAAGAGCCTCTTGGACGGAGAATGTGTCTCACGGAGGAAATGACAAATACACTACATCGGAAGAAATCAGCTCTGCAAGAAATATGGAATCAGTGACCACAACCATATAAATGAAGACAGCAGAAACAACGAAGCCTCATTATGCACACAGGAATAAAAGTTTGGAAAGGGGAAAATGAACAGCATGATTTTATTATCACAAGGATAGAATTATTATACATGACTTTAGTGGTATGTGTGTGTGTGCGCATTAACAATTTGTAAATTTTTTTAAAAGTTCATGGCTAAAAACAAAACAAAAAATAAACCCCAACCAAAACCAAACAAAATTCTATCAGAGTCCAAGGAAACAAGCAAGCTTGGAACTTTCTGTCTCATATTTGCCACCAGCAGGAGGGGTATGATCTCCCCAGAACTGGCTAGAGGAATGAACTAGAGTCAGGCCCCTAGGTTGAGACCCCAGGGGCTCGGTTAACTCATCCCCTCTCATTTGTCTCTCCATATGAATGGGAGCAGGAAGGGTATGTAATGACAGACGACTCCCCCCCCAACCCCCCCCCCCCAAACAAAACCTTTGCATTTGTAAGAAACCTTAACACTTTCTAGGAATCTGGCTTCATCTGAAACATGTCCAGATACCACTTCCTCTGTCTGTGCCTCAGTTTCCTCACCTGTAAAATGAAGGAGTTGGTGTAGATTCGATTGGCTTGTATATAAGCCAATGATTAGCTGGTGTTCACAACTCTTGTGAGCTAAGTGAGGTGAGTATTACTACTATATACAAAGCACTGTGTTCAGGGCCTCAACTTCCCACTCTGTAAGATGCAGGGGTTGGACAAGAAGGGTTCTAAGATTTCTTAGACATTTGTGATGTCTGGACCCATATTTTGCAGAAATGAAACAGAGGCACAGGGAAGCTAATGTGATGCCTCCCCCCCCCCCCCCCCCCCCGCCAAAGTTGCGTTACATTACTGGAATTACATTGATAGAACCTCTGAAAGATAAGATAAATTCCTGTTTTATATCACTTCAAATCTACAAGCTATGTGACTCCAGGAAAGTCACTTAAACTCTGCTGGTAATAGCATCTCTGTCCCTTGTTGAGAACTACATGAGATATTTGGAAAGTACTTAGCAAATCTTAAAGTACTATATAGATGATAGCTATTACTATTGATTGGTTTCCTTGCTTTTAGGTTTTCTTTTCCTCTCCATCTTACACTCATCTGTTAAAAATGATATTCCTAAAACATTGATCTGATCGTGAAACTCTTTATTCAGAAATGCTCAGGGCTTTCCTTTACTTTTACTATAAAATACAAACTTCTCAATCAGGCTCTCACCTCCAGTCTAATTACTCCCTTCCACAGACTCTTCATTTCAATTATTCTGGCCTGCCAGCTAGTCTCCATATAGGGCCTCCATCCCTCTAAGCACACAAGTGGACCCCCTTCCCTGATCCCTACAAGTCATTGGCTTCTGTTCTTGTGAAATTCAGTATCATACATAAGATCAGGAAGGGGCTTTGGAAGCTGTCTAATTCAACCCACTCTTTTTACAGATGACGAAACTGAGGCCCAGAGAGTTGAGATGACTTACTTGTCCAAGGTTACATAAGTAATGGAATCAAGGTGACACAGTGGGTTCAAATTCCACTTCTGGTGTTACCTTGGGTAAGTCACTTAACGTTTATCGCCTCAGTTTCATCATCTGTAAAATGAGGTAGAGGTGGGGTTAGCCAGGCTAGCCTCTGAGGTCCCTCCCATCTCTGGCTCAAAAACCCCGTCTTCAGCCTCCCCACGCAGCGCTCCTCGCACCGAGAGAACCCAAGCGGACTTGGCCACGGTCACGCGAGCGGTCAAAGTTAGCATTGCAAGCCGGAGCTCTAAGGCAATTGAGTCCATTTCACTGAAGCCGGAAATGAGCGACTTTTCCGAAGTCACATGGCTGGTCTATCAAAGAGAGGAGTAGGGAGTGGAACTCGACCCCAGGGCTCGGTCACAGGAGCGGCGAGCCCGTGGCGGTGCAGGACTCGGACGCGCGGGGACGGTCCCGTTGCAGCACTCCGGTACTCTTCGTTAAAGGTCCATGCAGACCTTGGATGCAGCCTGGCCTCACTGTTCCACGAGTCCAAAGGGCCTCCTGGCCTGGGGTCTCTTTAAGAGCGGAAAGCCCCCCTCCCCATTTCTCCGGAGGAGGGGCGGAGAGGGGGCGGAGTCCCCAGGGAGGTTCTCTGCCCGCTCAGAGGCCGGCCGGCCAGGTAAGGGTTAAAGGGGCGCGCCCTCGGGTCTGTCCGGACTCCCCCTCCCTTCCTCCTGCAGGCCGCGGGGCGGAGCGGCCACGGTTGCGGAGGGGGCAGGGCTGCGCTGCTGCCACCCGAGCCGAGCCGGGCAAACAAAGCGTTCGTGAGACCGTGCGTCCGTGCGTCCGTGCCGGAGGCCAGAGCCGCCGCCAAGCGAGGCGTGCCCAGGAGCTCGGGCCGGGGCATGGCTGCGTCCCCCGGGCCGGCCCCAGCCCCAGCGCAAGCCCTGGCCCCAGTCCTGGCCCGGGTCCCGGCCCCAGCCCCATTCCCATTCCCATTTCCATTCCCAGCCCCAGCCCCACCGCTATCAGGACGCCCAGTGCTGCCGCCCTAGTCGAGAGCCTCCTGCCAGGTAAGAGCTGGGGACAGGACAGGACTCCGGGCCCGGCCACCTCCAGCACAGCCCCTAGCACCCCCGGGCCCCGGGACGGGTAAGCAGGACAGATTCCGCAGCCCGGAGCCCCAGAGAGCTCAGCCTTCCAACCCCAGCGGGGAAGTTTAGAAGGTAAGCGGTGCCCAAGGTCCCACGGTCCCCGGATCCCCGGGCCCAGGCAGCCCGGGTGGGCTTCCTGGCCACCGGGGGACCCCCACTGTCACGGCCAAGCTCCGCAGGGCTGCATTCTGTTTGAGATGACACCTGCAGGCCTGACAGTTGGGAGGAGCGAGGTCAGGGGCCATCCAGATGTTAAGAGGGAGCAAGAAAGTTTTCTGAGCTCAGTATTGGGGACCTCCTGTGCCCATTAGAGCCCAGGCGTACAAAGCAGGCACACCCCTATTTTGTTTGGGAAGCCCTGGGTCCTTTCGTTTTGCAACTTTGTTGTCCTCGTCTCTCATGCTGAACAAAGAACAAGGAAAAAAACCCAAAAGCTTCCGAGCTGGTGTATGCTTATGGGACGAGCTTGGCTCCTTCCAACTCGGAAGAGTCCCCAGATTCCAGGCTGTTGTGCCAGGCCAGATGCCTCTTCCTTGGCTCTTGGTAAGCTCCCTGCAGGCCAGTGGAATGTGGGGCAAGGTACAGAGCCTGTACAAGGCACAGGTACTAGGCCACTGGGAAGTTTCTGGGGATGCCACACCAAGGTCCCACGTCCTACATAGGTATGGTGTAGTGGAAAGAATTCTGGATTTGGAGTGAGAGCATCTGGATTCAAAGGGCCTTTTCTCTGTTAATTATCTCCAATCGATCCTGCCTACTTGGTCCATAGTTTTTCATGGTCTCAAAACATGTTTGTGTGTCTTTTGCCTTTCTTTATATCTCAGTTCTGCGCCCACTACCTGGCACATGGTAAGTAGTCACTTAAATATTTATTGACTAGGGGCAGCTAGGTGTCACAGTGGATACAGCTCTGGCCTTGGAGTCAGCAGGACCTGAGTTCAAATCTGCCTCAGACAACTTGACACTTAGTAGCTGTGTGACCCTGGGCAAGTCACTTAACCCTGATTGCCTTACCAAAAAAGCAAAAAAAAAAAAGCTTATTGACTGACTGCCTGATTGCCACTTACAAGCTATGTGGCCTTGGGCAAGTCATTTCTTGCCAAAGAAGTCCGAAGTTACTCTTTGAACTTTCATTTCCTCATTTGTCAAATGGATCATCAGTCCTCACAGTGTGGTCCAGCATCCCTGGTGTCGTAGACACCTTTTCAGAAAGTTTGAGCTATTTTCATAATAATACTAAAATTTTAATTTCTAAAACTGTAAATATATATACTCATACATAAAATTTTAAGAGTGTAAGGGTCAAAATAAAAAAATAAATAAAAAAACTGAACCCCAATTGCCTAAAAATAAAAACAAATTAAAAAAAATAAATTAAGAGTGTAAAGGTCACTTTGGGGCCCAGAAGTTTGAGAACCTTTGTACGTAGGTGATGGACGCATTGTGGAAGGAGCCATCGGTCTGTTGTCAGAGGAGCTCTGTCACTTACCCCCTGTGTGAAACCCAAGGGTCTCTAGGCCTCAGTTTGCTGCTGTGGGGTTTGACCAAATGTCCTCAGAGGTCCCTGCCAGCTTGAAATCCGTCATCCCCTTGCGGCAGTTGAGCACCCCAGCATAGGTTCACTTGGACATCAGGGGGAAACTGAAGGTTAGGATGAAAAATGGAAAATCCTCGACCCAGGAATTGGAGGGACATGGGATTTCCCAGGTAAAGGGTGCCCCTGTGTTTAAAGCAAAAGGAAATGGGCCCTGGTGAGTTTAGGAGACTTGGCTTTAGATTAGATTGCTGTTAGATTGTAAGCTCTTTGAGGGCAGGGACTGTCTTTTGCCTCTTTTTGTATCCCCAGTGCTTGACACATAGTAGGTACTTAACAAATGTCTGCTGGATTGACTTGGGCCCTGGCTTACTCTGCCTTGCTGTGTGACATTAGGCAAATTACGTGAGTTCTTTGAGATTTCGTTTCTTTTTTGGAAAATATGGTCGGTCAGATGAACGTATGTTTAAGAATCTTAGCAACTGGGGATGTGATTCTCTGTGATCTTTGCCTCCTCTGGCCAGGGTGTCGAATGAATGAGTGAGTGCTGAGTAAGGAGGATTCTGGACTTCTTGGAAAATATCGGATGACAAACGGGGGCCTCTTGTCACCCCACCTCATGCCCACCAAGTTTACTTTTCTTTCTTCCTCTGACACATTATTCCCATTCTTTGTAAAAATAGAATTAGAAATCTGGAGATCTAAGCATTAAACTGTGCCACTAACTCATGATGTGACCTCAGGCAAGCCATTCCATTTCCTTAGCTGTAAACTGGGGAGAATATTAATTATCTCATGGGCTAGCATGAGACAGCATGGGCTGGCTGTGGACTTAGGCAGACATGAGGCTCAAGTCTTGCCCCTGACCCACACTGACTGAGTGGTCTTAGGTTATTATAATTATAATAATAATTTATTTTTTTGGTAGTGGGGGGAGGGGAGGCGATTGAGGTTAAATGACTTGCCCAGGGTCACACAGCTAAACAATGTCTCAGGCTGGATTTGAACTCAGGTCCTCCAGGGCTGCTTGGTCTATCCACTGTGCCACCTAGCTGCCCCAATAATAATTATTATTATGAATAATTATTGTTAGTGATAATTATTAACAATAATAGAAGGATTTATATACTGCTTTAAGGTTTGCCAAAGTGCTTTACAAATGTTACCCCATTTGATCCTCAGGACAGCCCTGGGAGCTTGGTGTTGTTATTATTCCCATTTTAGAGATGAGGAAACTGAGGCAGAGAGAGGTGAAGTGATCTGTCCCAGGATCACACAGCTAGTAAGTGTCAAATTCCTGGCTTGAGGCTGGAATTGAGCTCCAGTCTTCGTGGTCCAGGTCCAGGTACTTTCAGTGCCCTGGGCAGCTCTATAAAATAGGCGCTCTGGGGCTGCAAACAAAAAGTAAAACAAGTTGCTGTCCTCAAGGAGCTACCATTCTAAGTGGGGGAGAGGATATACATGGACGAGATCCTGTGCTAAGTAGCGCAGTTGATAGAGCTCTGGCCCTGGAGTCAGGAGGACCTGAGTTCAAATCCAGCCACAGACACTTGACACTAGCTGTGTGACCCTGGGCAAGTCACTTAACCCTGATTTCCTCACCAAAAAGCAAAAAAAAAGAGATCCTGATCTTCTTTTGGCTTTAGGTGGGGAGGGAGTGTGTGTGTGTGTGTGTGTGTGTGTGTGTGTGTGTGTGTGTGTTAGAGAGTAGAGGAGAGTTCCCCATCTGCATGAAATCACTGGTCAGGACCAAAGCTTAGCTCATAGGGCATTATGGACCTCAGATAGCCTGGTACCATCATAGATCTTAGGCAGCTAGGGGGCACCATATTGCACAGAGTGCTGGGCCTGGAGTCAGGAAGAACTGAGTTCGGATCTCACCTCAGATCTTTTTTTAGCTAGGTGACCCTGGACAAGTCACCTAAACACTGTTTGCCTCGGTTTCTTCAACTGTAAAACGAGGACAATAATAGCATCACCCTCCTAGGGTTGTTTCAAAGATCAAGTGAGGTAATATTTGTAAAGTGCTTTACCCAGTGCCTGGCATATAGTAAGCCCTATATAAATGTTGGTAATTATTATTATTACAAGCTGGCTTGACTGTACATTCTCTCATCCTCATTTTGCTTCCTGGAGAAATGGGTATAATAGTAGCACCTGCCTCCCAGAGTTGTGAGGATAAATTAGATGATATTTGCAAAGTGCTCTGCCACCTTAAAGCTATATAGAAATATGAATTATGATGATGATATGGGGCTGGAAGAGAGCTCAGATTTCCTCAAGATGAATCCTCTCATTTTACAAAGGAGAATACTGAGGCCCACAGAGATTAAGTGACTTTCCCAGGGGCGCACCAATAGTTAAAACTTATACAAATATAAAGTTGGCATTTTTGTTATTGTTTTTTTAACCAGGAAAAAGAACACGGAGGTGTCTCTAAGTCACTAGGAAAACGGTCTCAGTCACTGCCTTTGGTATGAGGAAAATACTTCCCTGGCCGCGTCTTGAGGAGCCTTTAAGTGAATGATAGCTCTTAGGTAGATCTGGCCTCCAGGGATCATGGGATCACAGATTTAGGTTTACAGGAAATTTTAGGGCCCATCTAGTTTGACCCCCATCATTTTACAGGGGGATTTTTCTTTACTGTGACTGAAAGGCTGCTGGTAACAGTAACGACAGCTCACCTTTCCAACATCCCATTGAGGTTTGTGAAACCTTCAGAGATACATCTAAGACTCCCAGACTCACTTAGGGGGCAAGGTACTGGTGAGAGCAGGGCATTTATTTTCCTCATTTTTATTTTCCATACTTCAGATTTTTGTCTTCAAGCTTTATACCATCCAAAAGGGGAGAAGGAAAAAAAAATGAGATTTCTGATACAACCATCCTGGAATAGATAGAGAATAGATGGAGTCAGAAAACCTGGGTTCAAATCCTACCCCTGACCTTTGTGATCCTGGGTAAATCTCTTTCCCTCTCTGGGCCTCAGTT